GGTGCTCAAAATGTGGGAGGGAGTCTGAAGCTTCTTCAAAGGTGGAAGATTTTTATGCCCTTGAGTTGAATATCAAAGGCCTCAAAACTTTGGATGCTAGTTTGAACGATTACCTTAGCGTGGAGCAGCTCAATGGGGATAATCAATATTTTTGTGGAAGTTGCAATGCTAGAGTAGATGCCACACGCTGCATTAAGCTGCGCACACTACCTCCTGTTATCACGTTTCAGCTCAAACGATGTGTTTTCCTTCCAAAGGTTATTTTCTCGATCTTAATATGCCTTGGTTCATGTATCAGTTGCGAAGAGAAACTATTTCCATGTTTTGAGTACTCATTTCTTGTGATTTGCATAAATACTCAATCATTTTCCTGCGTAGTTTTCTTCAACTAGAAGCATCTTTACCTCTTGTATTTTACAAGTGCTGAGGGATTTTTCTTGCATGTTATCTTTGGCTCTGATTGAGTTATAGATTTTTTACTCATGGTCATTCTCATACCTTTGCCTTTTTCCTTCTCCTGATATAAACTTGCATGTTTTTATGCTTAAACCTAATCATCACTTGTCCTATTTAATTTTAGATAAGACCTTATTAAAGATTCGTAAAGTTTTCCTATTTTTTGGCTGGATCATGTCAACAGACCACAGCAAAGAAGAAAATTACTTCCTCTTTTTCCTTTCCTCAAGTGCTGGATATGGGAACCAGATTGGCAGAGTCTTCTCAAAACGAGCTGACATACGATCTCTCTGCTGTGTTAATCCACAAAGGAAGCGCTGTGAACAGTGGACATTATGTTGCTCACATAAAAGATGAAAAGACTGGCTTGTGGTGGGAATTTGATGATGAGCATGTGTCAGAACTGGGTAAACGGCCATTCAATGAAGGTTCTTCCTCAACTACACAATCCGAGAGTAATGGTACGACGAGTGGTGGGAATACCACAGATGTGATTCAATCAGGCTCTTCAGACTGTAGGTCTGCTATTAAGTCAGAGGTTTTCTCATCCAGTGATGCTTATATGCTGATGTATAGTCTTAGATGCGGTAAACAGGAAAATCAGGAAAGGCATAGAGAAAATCCTATCGACATAACTAAAGGAGAAGTTGATAGTGTTCAACAGCTTGAAGGTGGTTATCTTCCGCTACATCTTGATGAATGGATCGATAAGATGAATGCATTATTCCTTGAGAGTTGCAAGCAATTTGATTCATTAAAGGAAAGAGAATTGAGTGCTTTGACTGAAAGGAGGCAAGAAGTACGGACAATACTTTCAGAAGCAGCGGTTCAGTCACTTGAAGAACAATATTTTTGGATCTCCACAGATTGGCTTCGTCTGTGGGCGGATACCATTTTGCCTCCGTAAGTAACGCACTAAAGCTCCTTATACATTCATTTGTTGTTATTATCTATTTACTTGTGCTAACTGCACTGCTTTCAGCATACAATGCATTTAAATCTGCAACAAAGTATCACGTCTTTCAAATGCATCGTCTATGATTTCTCAGAATATAATGGCAACTTATGTACCCCACACTAAAATTTCAGTTATTGTTTTTTTTTTTTTTTAAGTTTCTATATGGTTTCAGTTTTCAGTTCTGACTGGTATTGGTAAATATGATTTTCTATTTAGCAAATCAAATCACATCCACGCTTTCAAGTGTTCTTGATTATAGTTTTCTTGTACGATGTAGCGCTTTGGACAACACCCCTTTACTCTGCTCCCATGGGAAAGTTCTTGCCTCAAAGGTTAATTGCATGAAGCGAATATCTGAGCTAGCATGGGCCAAGTTAGAATCAAAGGTATGGTATGAAATATACTTTGTCTGCCTCATGGTTACTTCCTTTCCTTTCTTCAGGACAGAAACTTTTCTTATTTTCAAGTTTTGCATCAGCTGCCATCATTAACCATTTGTCATACAAATTCGTGGACAGACTTCTGTTTTGATATCATGTGCTAGAATTTTTTGCTGGTTTTTCCAACACTGTTATCTCAATATTTTTCTGATGCTATGTTATTCTCTGATGCAATCATTTTCTCGTACGTTTAGTTCAATGGTGGACCAAAGTTAGGGAAAGGGGACTATTGCAGGGACTGCCTTATGGATGGTGCCCGCATGGTTGTCTCTTCTGACAGCTATAGGGATCGAAGAACATTAATGAAAAGCATTGCAAGTGATGTTCTTTCGGGAAAGTGTGAGGACGGAATGTATTATATCTCTAAAGTATGGTATGTATTCAAGTGTCCTGTAACTCTTAGGTTTCTGGTAAAACCTTATTGCTTATTTGTGCGTGTTGACAGCTTGATGCATATGCAGAGGTGCTTTTATTTTATGGAGCACTTCATTTCTATTATTTTGTGGGGTGTTTTCAGAGTTAGGTAGTTCTGTAATAGACGCCATGGGGGCTCTCACTAACCTACTACACTGAATCTAGGTTTAAAAAAATCTAGCTCCTTCTAAGTGTAATAGCATCTTTTCAGGTTGCAGCAATGGATGAAAAGGAAAACCCTTGATGCTCCCAATGAAGCAGATGTGGGGCCCACAAATGCAATTACGTGCAGTCATGGAGAGCTGATGCCAGAGCAAGCGCCAGGGGCCAAAAGAATTCTAGTTCCAGAGAATCTCTGGTCATTCCTTGTTGAAGATGCTCTAAAAGTGATGCCAGAAGATACTTCGGGTTGTCCTTGTTTCCCTTTGGACTCCAGCCAATGTTGTCATTGCACAGAGGAACTTTCTGAGGTTGCATGCATCGAGGATTCACTAAGGTTAACCATGAGTAGCTATTATTTTTGTTGGTCGTGGTACTCTTAAATATTTCTTACCTTCTATCTGATGCAACAGAACATTTAAGGTCAAGCAGCGTCAAAATCACGAGAAGTTAGCCACAGGAAAGGGTATACCATTAACGCCACAAAGCCGATATTTCTTGTTGCCTTCTCCGTGGCTAGTGCAGTGGAGAAGCTATATTAACATGACTGGGAAAAATAGTTCTTCAGCACCAGAGCCTGAACGTCTCGATGGAGTCATTAATTCTGTCAAATGCAAGAAGGTAAGATCAATTGCTCGGCAGTGAGTGGGTTTTCATTTATTGGCAGATGGATATTTTGAATAAAGCTCTATTTGGACAGAAGGCCTCGTTTCATCTTTCCACTAGCAATTTTGAGCATAAAACTAATGGTTTGTTTTTATTCCTATGGTTGTTTGTTTCAGCACACACGACTCCTTGAAAGGCTCCCTGAACTTGTCTGCAGACGTGGCTCATTTTTTCAGAAAAATCCATCTGTAAGTGCATCATATACCGTGAGATGATCCTTAATCTATTTTGAAACTGTTTGAATTAATTTTGCCAATATCGGAATGGGAACTTGATAAGTGTTCATCATGAACACAGGAGATGCTTTAACTAACACTTGTCATGTGAGCATAACTAACTCATTTCTGTAGCAGTTAGGATAGTATAAATAAGATTAAGCTAGTGTGGAAAGGTGTCTGAGTGTTTTGGGACTTTATTTTTGGGCTTGGGAGGTTTCAGGGTCTCTAGAATAAACCTTAGTTACTGGTTCTGATAGTTTGGTTCTGTGGTGTCATCGTCGTTTCAATGAGAGAAATTAATGGAGTTATGTTCTGGATTTATCAAATCGGGGTTGTTATTGTCGATTCAGTTTGCATCCTCTCTCGGGTTTCCTGACTATTTTTAGCGTCAAACACAGACATGAGATGGGAACTCTAACTTTGATCTAATCTCTACTTTACTTACACTTTTTTGTAGACAGACAAGCTGACAATCATCCCTGAGCATGATTGGAAATATTTCTGTGAGGAATGGGGAGGGATCATGGAAAATGGTGTATCAGCTCTTATTGAGGTTGGTAACAATACAGAGCAAAGTTCATCCCCAGACGTCATTGATCTTGAGAAGCATTCTTCTCCTGATGATAATATGGACGTCGATGCTCAACAGCTTATTCTCAGGACATCCCCAGAGGTATTTGCATGATTGTATATGAACACACTTAGCAGCTATGGTTATCTTTAGCCTTTGATTTTGTCAACATCTTGTGCTTGTGATAGTACATTGAATAGCTATGTTGGCTTAGCTTTTCACATTGTTCCATATATATGAGGTTCAGATGTGTACGATATGGTATATTTTCTTGAAAGCAGATGTGATAATTTGCATTTTCATTGACTATCGTATGACTTCCATGAATAGAGTCACATTTAACATGATCTAATATTTTCGCTAGATTTGTGAGGAATGCATAGGGGAGAGAGAAAGCTGTGAGTTGATGCAGAAACTTACTTACTCCGAGGGAGATGTATTTGTCTGTCTTGTGCGTGGAAAGGAAGCTCCAAAAGCAATGTTAGAGGCATCTGACTCCAGCTTTGAGGTGGATCGGCGTACCTCAAAGCGATCTCGGAGAACAAATTATGGAAACCTGACAAGTCTGAAAGTGTCTGCGACAACGACCGTGTACCAATTAAAGATGATGATATGGGAATTACTTGGGGTATGGTCCTTCTAGACGCGCGTTTTTATTTCAGTAGATAACTTGCGTATATAAATTATGGAAACCTGATAACTTGAGACTTTAATAACATGCAGGTGATGAAGGAAAACCAGGAACTTCACAAAGGCACAAAAGTGATTGATCAGGAATCTGCAACCCTTGCAGACATGAACATATTCCCTGGCGACAAGCTTTGGGTGAGAGATACCGAGATGCATGAACACCGTGATATTGCTGGTAACCAAATTTACTTTTATTTCGCTGTAGCCAATATGTGTCCCCTATGACTCTGGTTAGGGAGATGTCCATTAAAAAGTAATGATCCTGATGTTTCAACAGATGAGTTATGCGGTAAGAAAACAGGGGCTCAGGATATCGAAGAAGGGTTTCGAGGGACGCTTTTGACTGCAGATATCTCTTCTGAAATTGTATCTTGAGATCAAAGTGTAAAAACAGAATGCCTGAGAAACAGTCATTGGACATCTAGAGGAGGTATAAATCTCATGAGCTACTTTCTCTGAACTGTAATCCCTTCTTCTCTGCTTCTTATGTTTGTGTTTCTCAGTTAGCTGTGCAGGAGACGGATGGCACATTTTTGGGTCAGTTTTTGTTTAAGGCAAGGGCTTTGGAGCTTTAATTTTGTGTGTAAACAAACGCAAAAAGCTTGCAAATGCCGAATTCTTAGATTTTCAGGCTTATTGTGGATGGATATTTGAAGCTACTCAGGCTTTTGTGTGTGTTTTTGGTGGACCCTTTATTTGAAGCCGATGTCTCAAAAACCTTTTGTGCTGGCTGCTCAAATCTTGTGACTTTATGCCCAAATGCCAAATCAATTATTGAATTAGTCATAAACCAACTCATAAATCCATGCGTTATTGAATTAGTCGTGTTCAATGGATTATTAAGGAGAAATTATAAAAAGTTATGCGCGATTTAGCAACAATAACAAAACAAAGGTCGTAGCGACATTGAAATGAATAAGAAGAGGTTGCGACATCTAATTGTAGTTGCTAGTCACAGTTGCAATTACTGGCGACTGTCACATGAAAAAGGCCCCAGGCGTTGCCCAACAGCTTCTCACAAACAAAAAACATTGAACTTGGTACGACTCTACACAAAGATTGATGTTCCTGCTGAGCTTACCGAAGACTTCTATAATTCAACTGTTTTGAAATGAAAAATGTCAAACTTTATTAGTGCTTATGTGCATATTAGAAAGGCAAAGTTCTTTTACAGAAACTAAAACGTGAACCGCATTATACAAAAGAGTTAAAAGTATCCATCATCAAATCCATATTTACAAACATTCATCAGATTAACTCATATCTCGATTGCTCTTTAGTGGACACGAGTTGCTCCACCAGATCCACTCTTGGATTTGGAGAGAAGCAAGTCTTTGAGCTGCTTGTAGTTTCTCAGCTCCTCTAGTGCATCTGATGTACTTCGAGCCATGGAAATTTCAGATTCTGTACCTGACACTGACACTGACACTGAACCTTCTCTCTGGATCCCAGTCATTGACCCCATGTAAGTGCTCGAGTCTTGCCTTAATGGTGGTGCCGTCTTCAGCATGTGAACCAGAACCCCTACCGCTGCGTCCTGCGACTTTCTTCCTATAGGTTGCGACTGCGATATAGAGCTTGAAGTTTTCCTCCTGTCAAGACTTTGGCTGCATCGGAAAAAATTGCAAAATGTTGTGTCATTATATATCACCAAAGACTACAATAAACCAAGAAGAAGTGAAATTGCCAGCCAAAAGATGTAAAGAGACAGTAAGATAAAGGCCAAAGTGTCAATGTCAACAATTTCACAATCAGTTGCACCTTCGCGCCTTACACAAAACAGCCAACGGTATTAGTGTTTTCTTGATAACATTTGCTCATTGTCTCTGTGTAAATATTTCGGAAAACTAATCTAAAGGCGTAAAGCCAATGACCTGTACTGAAGTCCTGACTCGTCAACATCGTCGAAATCAAAAGGGCATGAACAGTCAGGATCATCCAAGTCATCTTGGGAAGATAGTCTACTGGGGCTTCTAGAAAACCCGAATCTTGGTGAGCCACTCGAAGATAGAAGTCCTGAGAAGCGTCCTGAATCGTATTTGCTGTCCTTTGTCAGCTGGAGATTTGATTTAAAATAATACACCATGTCAGGTGAGGCAATACAAAACATTGTGATCTCACACTTGCATTAAGCAAGACACATAAAAAGTAAGAAGCATTACCTTCTGGCCAGGGTAGTGGTTCATTAATCCAGAAGGAGACTCTCCGCTTCTCGAAATCTTGTACAATGCAATCCCAGGCAAAGAGTCTTGCGATGAAGGGGAGCGTCTCGTGCTTTTGGGAGAAAAAGGAGGAAGTGGATTCCTACTTGGCTCAGAGAAGTTAGATGAAACGTATCTATTGAATGTGGCTGAAGAAGGAATGGTCACTGGAGCAGTCCCTGGCCTCACATTAATCCGCGGACTGTTACTCCCCGAAATGTATCTTGGCGTAGAGGGAGAACACGATGGCGAAAAAGGAGGTGAAAGCTGGTGACTGTCACCAAAAGCATCTGTACGCGACCACTGGAAATCGTGTAGTCCGGGTGAGAATTGATGTGAATGAGCAGGCGAAAAGGATTGGTTTGGCGTTGCGTAATGAGCTGGAGGTCTGTGAAAGCCGCTGGTCCAGCTATGCGGACGTTCAGCAGCTGAACTAGTCAATGGAGGCCGACCAGCTCTAACTGGAAAAGATGTACCTTCAACACTTTTCCCTGGAGAAGGGAAAAACCTCATAGGATCTGTTGCAGGACTCCCTACGTAATCGGTTATGATTCTTGGAGGCAATGTGATATGAGCACCGAGATTAAAATCAGACAAGTCAGAACGGTAAGTAACAGAGGCGCAAAGACGACCAGGAGGCACTTCAACAGGTGCAAAACGAAACTCTTTCATAGTTTCTGTCACTGGACCTGAGAATATATCACTGAAAGATGAAACCTTGTAAACTATATCATAACCAGAAGAGGCAAGAGACGAACGTAGCTGCCTAGAGACACGATACGCAGGGAGAAGGCGAGTCTGCGCGTAAAGAGACCGCAATAGAATGATAGATTTCTTGTAAACCTTCTGATAACGAGTAGACGAATCAGAATTCTGAGGAGACATAATCAGTGGATTCTCATACTGAACAACCCAACGCTCGATCACAGTCTCAGCTGATCTAAGAGTGGAATCGACGACATGATCATCGTCACTCGGGATCGGATGAACAAGTATGATATCAATGATCATAGAATCCAAGATGTTCCTATGCCAAGAATGCAGCTTCTCCAAAGCTGCAGGACGATCTCCCATCACGAGATTGAACCATTTATCACTCTTTTTAACATTAAGACCCGATAAACGCTCACGAGTACGACCACGAGATTGCAACGAAGGGATTCTAGAATCTAGAACGATGTGTAATGCCTTTGGAAAAAAGTGTGAAACAATCTGCTCTAATCTTCCACTATCCGATGGCAAATTCTCAGGAAAATCCATGTCCAACACAAGCAAAATCCCCCAAATCGAAATTCCTAAAAATAACACAATCCAGAGGTGATCGAGTGAAATAGAGATCCCGAATCGTTGGAAAAAAAGAGGATCTTATCTAGAACGGAGATTCACACAAAAACAAATCTTCAGGAGAATGG